AGCGACAACCGCCCGCGGTAGCAGGGCCTAGCAGTGTGGCGCGAGAAAAAGGAAGAGAGACCGCCAAAGGTGGATGGGTATCATGATGATGCCACCAATGATTTGACAATTGTTCTTTTGGGCGGGGGAGGGGGGGTGTACGATTCGGATTTCGGGATCAACAACGACACAAAATGCACTGTCTGCGTTAGGGCGGTTGACTCGCGAACTCACCGGGTGGTCGGTTTCCTCCGTCAAGGATGTAAGGGGTTGTGTTCCTCACGACACTGCTGCAAATATTATTACGACTCATGGAACGTCACAGCATTGTTGGCATCGTCGAAACTCGTCCTCCACACTTTCGCTACTGTGATAGAGTGTTTCCTCTGCTGCTTGGCGTGGTGGTGATGGGTTGTTTACGTCTTCTAAGCTCCTCCGCCAAACTCGAATCGAATGTTTTGCCTGTCTGTCATGGAGTGAGTAACCTCGCTGGCGTCTGCTGCACTCTTCCTACGCACTCTTGCTAAGACATTCCGGGCTGTGTAATTGTCGTGACACGTATGTCCTTTCGCGTAGGTTGGTTTCACCACGGACCCCAGGAACGGCCGGTCTACGGAGTACTGCTCGGACCTCGGCAAGACCTTCGAGGTGATGATGTGTGTGTTTTTTTCATCGCGGACGTACGGCGTGTTATGTACAGTATCGCTTTTCGTTCCGATGAAAACGTGTGCGTTCGAAGCGAAGTTTTTTTTTTTTTCATGGCGGATGAAGAGCGTGTCATCGCGTTTTTTTCGATCCGACATGTGACGCCGCCGCTTCGGAGGTAACAAATTATAACATTTCTGCTGTACCTTGCTCTAGGTGCGGTCGGGTGAGTTGTTTTTTTTATCTCTCGACACCGTGAAAGTGCGAGAAATATCGCATGCCCTCGAGACTGACTAGCACGCTCGGTTTCTCCACCTCGTCCTGAGAGCGTGCGGAAAACGACCGACGTGGGCAAGGAAACCAAGCTCTCGACGATGTTTTTCTCCTTCACGGCCCTTGTTGGGGGGGTGTTTTTCCAGCCGGCTAGCTCTTTGGTTGTGGAAAATGCGAGCACCCAAAACCGGTCTAGGTGTGCGATCACTCTCGCACCTTGTACGGCATACAGCTGTTTGAACCGCACACCCCCCCCTCGTTTAATCTTCGATTGCGTACCCCCCGCCCGTATCCTGCTACGGCCAAACACATGAACATCAATATCAACACGGAACGCATGACCCCAGATCCCTATCTTCCACTGTAACGGAGACGATCCCATGTCGGTATGCACGGCTTTCGAGCTGGCCGTCGAGTGGAGACAGCAGGTGAGATACATGTGATTGTAGAAGTTCCGTCCGTGCTTGTATGCGGTGGGTATGTATTATATTTCATTCCACTGGATTTGGTCCCGGAAGCGATCGTTGGCCTCTTTTGTGCTCTCGGAGTCGAGGCCGCCTGTCCCAGCCCTTTCGTGATGTTGGCCGTGCCACCAACAACCTTGTCTGGCGATCGTCTCTTCTCCCTTATCTACAATGGAAGAGGGTCGATCGGGGATGGCCAACGAAGTTCTGCACAATGGATACGGCTTTTCCGTATTTTTCGCTTGGTGTTTCCGGGTTTCGAAGACTTGTCTTCTTTCCCTCGTCCAATTTTTCTTGCCTCTCTTGTTTTTCTCTTGTTGCCATTTGTCAGTGCATGGCGTCCCCTCCCTCCCCTCCACAATGTGATCTCGTCGAAGTCTTCACCGAGTGTTTCTTTTTTTTTTGTTCTTCTTGTTCCCCTCAGTACGGCGAGGACTGCATCATCGACATGATCTGCTACCGACGCATGGGACACAACGAGATCGACCAGCCCCTCTTCACGCAGCCCGTGCTCTACAAGCAGATCTCCCAACACCCGGACACTGCTGCGATCTTCGAAACTAAGCTTGTGAGCTGAGTTGCGTTGCTGCTTTTGTTGTTGGCGGCGCCCCC